CTACGGTGAAGTAGCAATGGGGGAACCAGTTATTTTGTCTCGGCCAAGTGTCTGTTGATCTGATTGGCTAGCTTGTCTAATCTCTTCCCCACGGTCCCAACCTGGCCTCCAAGAGCCATGATTGACCCCGCACGTGGACAATGGATCATTCGATGGTGAGTGAACGAGAAGATGATTGATTCGACTCTGGTGAGCCAGGGCTTGAGGGCAGGGCCAACATTCCACCTTCAGGCTCATCACGTCCTACGTATCACTGACCAATTACTTCTCAATTCTTTCACTCGAAAGGACCAATGACTACCACGACTGGTTGTTGGTTGATGAACAAGCAAGCACCCAATCATGATTAGAGGGGACGTGTAGAAATTTATGTTGCTACACTGCTGTACTGTACAGTACAGCACAGTACTGTACTGTTCGGTAAATGCGCACACAGTACAAATTGCAGGAAACTTCCTTCGTGCCCGAAGTCCTTCCACAATAATCAGCGAGTAGTTCTTGGAGTCCTGTATGTCCATTTCTCCGCAGGATCATCCGGATTGGGAAAGAACCCCACCACGCTGGTCGTGCCCTCTGCAAATGTTCCCATAGGCTCACCAATCTGCAGAACGCACATCACAAGGCCATTAGGTGATTTGGTGGAGAATTTTCTAATTCTCCTACTTGAAGCTAGCTACAGTACTTCTGCCTTGTGAACGTTGGCGTGTAGACAGCTCGTTGTGAAGTATTTGGCTTTCTCAACGCAGGCTACATGATTACTCGCGGTTTTCTACAAGGACAACCAATAATTTTCGTCAAGCACCCGAAGCGAAGCTCAGCTTTTCGAAATTATGACGGTCTTCTCTGTGATGCATACATTTCTGTCCGGCGTGGCCAGGTCTTGATGAGTCGTGGACAAGCTCGCCAGAATCATGTAGCACGTCAGAAGATGAGACAGCTAAAGCCAATCAATACGGCAGTTACATGGACGACCAATGATATATCGTGATGGGCTAGGTGAAACTAGTGACCCATGCTTTCGGCATCAAGATACTGCGTTGTAAAATTTCAGTAGTACTGTGCTATCCAGGCCGGCACACGGAGGTCTTAGGTGCTCAGTGCTGGAAGCGAGACCAACGACACCAATTGGTGATGTATTCAAGAAGTGCGAACAGCCTTGAGGCTGACGGAGTAATGTGCGATTGACACCCAATCCTTCGTCTTCCGATGGATTTCACACTCTGATTGGCTCTTGGAGACGGACCAATCACCAACATGGTAAGTACTGCACTGTCCTGCACTGTATGAAACAATTACTATCTGATTGGCCGAATGTTGCAATTTGTTATTGGTGCGTCGACTTCGGTCTAGATGTGAGCCATTGCGACCACTATTGGTAAGTCCGTCATACAATCTAACCCCGAGGCGTAAACGTGTGACTGTTCACAATGAGCCAATCAGATGAGCCAGCGTACGGAAGTCATCAAACAGTGCCGGCATGGGATGCTCATGCAGACTACCACCTCATGGAGCATGCGGTCAAAAGCCCCTCGGCGAGCTCGTCAATGGCGCAACGCGCAACCTACAGCCTGCTTCCCGAAGTTGCCTGCTTCCCGAAGTTTCCTTCGGCAAGAACAGGCCGAACTCATGGTTTGCATGCTCTCTTTGGAGGCAATCCAGCCAGTCAAGATCGAGCTACCGTGAGATCACCACCGAGCTGCCCATACTGCCGAGCAGCATTGATGCTATGGCCCTTGTAGCCTGCTCGTACAGTTTGTGGTACAGTAGCATACTGCCCACCATCTCCCTGTGTTTCTCTTTCTCGTTCTCATGCTGACCTGCAACTCTTGACATGACTTCAAGTGTACAATGTACAGCACTGTACAGTATAATGTACAGTATATTTCCTTCCATTCGAAACGCGTCTGAACCAATCCCCTGCCAGGCTCACCACCTTTTTGGATCTTCTTATTGGGCTTTTGTCTGGCTCTTTGAGAAGCCGCATGAAAGCGTATCCTGGGATCGGGACTATTACTATAGGTGCGACAGACACGAATTCGGTGACTGGCGAGAGGAATCTCTACAACAAATATGTATGTCACGGTCAGAGGCATGAGACATGGCTGAACGCAGACGATGGGCCGTTTCGTGTATAAAAGACTAGAGCACGTCTGATCTCGGCCGTGAGACTCGTTGTCTGCCTCCAAGTAGACCCAGCTCTCTTTTGCCACAATGCGATTCCAGCACCGGAATCGGTCATCTGTTTTCTAGCTTCAATCTGTTGCAATCTTTGTGTTCTGAGGCCTCCCGCCTCCCATAGCATTTCACATCCTCTTGTCCAGGCTTCTTTGTCGTGCCACCCTCTGCGCTTTAGTTGCTATCGAACACCGGCAGCTCAGAAATCCCGGCTTGAGTTCCACCCTTTGGTCACGAACGGGCGCAACATGAGCGTTATCACTGACAGTGAGGAGCTAGGTGTTATAGCTCGCAATCGGGGTTTCAAAGCAGCAGCCATCAGACTGAAGCAAACCGCGTCCTCCAGAGGCGCCCAGACCATTCCTGAACTTATCGACTACAACGCGAGAGTCAATCCTGATGCATGTTTCTGCGTCCAGGCTGTGAAGCCCGTAGGCGCGCGGCCCAGAAATTATGTCATCTTCACCATGCGCCAGTTGCGCTATGCAGTACTTTGGTGCTCCAAGGAGCTACGCGCGTGTCTGACTGGCCTGGAAATCACTAATGTCAGCGCGGAGACCGTACCAGGGCCGGATCATACTTTCCATGTCAGACCCGACCCGGTAGCCCTCTTTATGGACAGCGACATCAGTCTTCTAGTGTACTTGTTCTCTCTGCTGGCTCTGGGCGTCCCCGTCGCCCTGGTGTCGATTCGTCTGAACCCGGCATCCATTCAACATCTTCTCACAGTCGTCAAGGCACAGACCGTGATAACGTCTCCCCGGCTCGTCAGGACCGTTGAGTCGGCCTTCGACACAACACGCACGACATACGGTCTTGGTGCAGCTAGCGTACACATCGCCACCGATTTTCAGTCGCCGAATCCAGGCCCTGCAAATGTCGAACCTAGTCCTCTTGATGCCACCATCTGCAGTCCGGGCCACTTTGTTACCGGTGAGGATCGTAATGTGGTCATCTTGCACACGTCCGGAAGTACTGGCCTTCCGAAGCCGATCCACCATTCGCACAAGATGCTGCTTGGGTATGCCAGCTGCTACCGTCGCACAGGGGCGGAAGATATGGGAGGGCTCAACTTGTCCATGCTACCATTGTATCATGTAAGGCGTGCACTCAATCCATTTTCATCGCGTGTAGACACTGAAAAGTATCGTAACCGGCAGGGCTTTGGGTTGGTGGTCGCTTGTCTAGCACTAGGTATCGGAAAGCCTCTCCTGTTGCCGCCGTCACCTGAAGTGCCGACCGCCTCTTTGACGGCGGCACTGATCCGAAGATATAGATATGGTAGACGGAAAATCAGTTATGCGAAATCAGAGGTCAAAGCGAAAGAGTGGGCCCGACTGGCCAATCAGGACAGTGCAAGCTATTGTAATATAATGTATACCAATGGAATTCTTTCGCTGCTCGGCCATGAGACCACATTCTGTTTGGAGAAGTGGACTTCCCTTTTGTGAACAATGCGATTATTCAACACATGATGGCATTGGCAGCGCCTCTCTCCAACTGCCCCTGAGCCACTCGAAGTCGAAGAGAAGAGAAGCCTCAATAATTAAAATAAACTTTGGAATCGACTTCATTACCGGATCTAAGCGTCATACGACAGAATTTACTGTACCTGAGGATCCGGGACTAAATGATCAGAGGACACAGAAACAAACATCTCTATGATCCACCAATAGACATTTGGAACTGTGAATCCTCAGCAGTCATGACTGCACTATCCAATGATAGCTCAGAGGCGATATTAGCTTGATTGGAGGGTCTTGCCAAAAGAGTTCCTTGACTTCTGGAGCTTCCACGCCACCTTCAGTCCATGCGTTACCTTCCCATAAGCTGACCAATCAGTAGATGAGTAAGAGTTGGACGGTTGCTCTGCTGCACCAGTTGGCTGCCTGGTCGATCCTTACTGAACCAATCAGACCTGCCGTAGTATATAGACACGTTGTGAGGTAGAGCTTAGCCGATGGTCAATATGGGAATACTGGTAGTCGCCAAAGGGATCAGTCGTCCTGCGCATGTCCGCCAACAGTGCTAAAAATATACACCTTGAATCGAAACGCACAAGCGATATAGCCTTCGTGGCAGCTAGTGAAGTCATCCCTAGAGCCACAGTGCTACTATATACTCGGTCGTACATTACCAAAAGTCAATAAAATTCGAACCCATGCTCGGCTAGGGTCTGTTCTGGAGCAGCTCTCCCGGGCTCTAGGAAATGACGGCCCACTCGCTGTTCGCCATATACTATTTAACTACCCTGCAGACCGTGACCCATCACGGCACCTCAGTGCAGCACGGGTGCCAAAATGTCCTCGACCACTGATCCTGTCATGCTCAACGTCTTTATGTCGCCGCCATATTCGCCGTCATCACCCGACTTCTCTCCAATGAACACCACCTCCACAATGGCGCCTGGTATGCTGGACCGACATTTCCCGATGACGCCGTTCCCGTGTTTCAACTCGTCGATGCCTTCTGAATGTAAAGACTCGGACCAACTGTCACAAGAAATAGACACATATGATTTCGCCTGTTATCTTGAGCTCGTTTCGCCCCTGGCAATGTTCTTGCATGGCGATTCCCAAAAGTGCGAGATGTCAGAGTGGGAGCCATCCCCGGACGCTAGCTACATAGCCGTCGGCGGGACATCAGGACCCGAAAACGCACCAGTGACCACAGAACTCAGTATTCTTACGAACCCTGACGGAAGTATCGACCGAAAGGTTGTAGAGGACAGTACTCAGCAAGACCCGTCGACGGTACATCAGAACGATCCGAGGGCCGCGGCAGGCGAGCACTGTCGATCAAAGCAAGAGCCAACATCGGAGAAGGGTGCCACTTTTCACAATCAGTTGGAAGTCTCGAAATTCTCGGACACCAGATACACATGCGAGTACCCGAACTGCGACAAGAAAAGCTATAAAAGACGAGAGCACTTGAAGAGACATCTCAACCAGCAAGTATCCGTAGAAATGACTCCGGGACGACCAGAACTGACATGAGGATCATAGAGCACACTCAAATAGTCCGGAAGAGTGGCGATGTGACTTTTGCGAGACGCCCAGGACGTTCAAGAG